TTTCTCAGACTTGTTTGGTGTTTTTCTCAAAACTACTTTTTTGTCCATAGCACCTGATTGTGTCCAACATACCCCCCCCCCCTCTAACTTTGTCCGATCGGGCTGAAATTTTCACCAGTGATACTTTCAACTATCCTCCAAAGGTAAAATCCGCCGTTTTCATTTCTGACCTTTCTGTCCAGATTCATAAGATCTTTAAAGCTGGAAAACGGAACCTCCCGAGAACGTTTATGTATTTCTCTTACTAAAAAAAAGTAAGTGAAATTTTTGAAAATCCTCAAAACTACCTGTGGCATATACGTGTAGGTAGCTACAAAAAAAAATTCAGCCCAATCAGACATAATCTAATAGGTGTTTTCCTGGGCAAGATGAGGACCCTTGGAGAATCAAAGATTTTGCCAAAAACCATCAAAAGCCTCTTGGAAAAGTTTTTCTTTGAACACTTAGCTGATCATTTAGGGTTCTCTATTTGTGGTAAAAATGTCAGCTCGATTGGTCGTTGGTTTTGAGCCTTGGCAATCCACGAAAAGAAAGGGAGGGATACCCTTAATGGACTATAATACTACCGTGAAATCAACACATAATTCAATTCTTTTCCAACTTACTTCTGATCATTATCTTTATCAAAAACACTATATTTTCTTATTATTTATTGCCTATGAATCTGCACAATACAGTATATGTATATACAATTTCGACTGAAGGTTTTTTGGCAAACTCTGATGCTGATTTCAGGTATCAGAATGTATCGATATTTTGTGTAGGCTTGCGAATATCCGAAGTACAACGGACATATATTTCATGTGACAAAATTTTCATCGAATATTAGTTTGTACTTGGTTTCACTACCCTTTCTCTATTCGCTAGAATATATTCTTAAGTTTGATAAAGGCTGATTCGAGCCGAAAAATGATTGTATTTACTGAGATATTCTCTCAGTAGCATTCAGAAACGAGTCTCGCATCTTGAGAGTGGATATGGGTGGGTGTCAGTGATAGCGTGGCTGTCGATGATGGGTATAGGTGTGTGTGTGACTGAGGTTATAGATGAGGATAGATGTGGGCGACGGTGTGGATCCAAGATTAATGTATTTCTCATTGTCGTGCACCCACACCCATCTAGCCACGCCGATACAAGGTGTATCGAACTCTTTCGCGATCTCAAGTTATTGGCGCAGCTAATTTATGGGTGTAGGTGCAGATATCTCTCTCTTTAGTAAACACCCACACCTTTCCATTACGGATTTGAAAGAAACTTTTGATATTGTGGTTTAGAAGTATCATATATAAATTGTTATGATAAAAAATGAAGTCCTATTTCTGTCATTTGAAATAATTTATCATACATTAACTTCAAAATAGATGATTGTCTCATTTTAACTACCTGTTGCTACTTCCATTTCTTCTGTTGTTGATATGCTTTCACTGTTTATCTTTGCTCTTTTAACGAGAGCTATGGAAATCATTATAATCATAATAACTACAATAATAACTAATATGATCCACGTCACTTTTCTTTTTTTCAGATATTGAAGTCTAGAATAAGAAATCTTTTTTATCATTATCTACAATTCATAAGATACATACAATGTTTCTGATTGAGTTGCATTCGAAGTAACTGTTTCAGACTAAAATAATCAAAAAAGCAAATTATTATATTTCATGCTTTTTCTTTCTCTCAAAAAACTACTTCATCATTATCAACTCCTATTCTGTTGTTGTTGTTCATTGTTGATATTTTATTGAAAATTTAATACTTTTACAATCTAAAATCAACAAAAGCATCTTCTCATTTATACATTTTCAGTCATTAATGATATAATTACAAAGAAACTAAACTGTTTATTTGAATATCTTTTCTCAAAGAATCATTTGTGTTTCTCATTAATTGGTGAAATCTATATTTCAAGTAATATCTAATATTCCTTACTGATCAATCTGATGGTATAAAAAAGAGACTTAGATATTGTTTTTCTCACTTACAAGTTTCTCATCTCAATTTTAACTAGAAAATTGTTAAAATAATAGAAAAAATATTTATCATGCTCTCTCTTTCTCTTTCTCAAACAATCAGTTCTTTTTTGACGTAAATCATTATGCTAATATAAAATATTTGCAGCAAAACATCATATATCAATAAAAACAATCAGCTCACTTCCTTTTCAATGTTAATTTTCAAAAAACAACAACTCTTGTCAGATAGAGTTTTTATCTTTTATAAATATGAAATTGTTTGAGACAACATTTAGTGTAATTATTATTAGTTAATAAAACATTGAAAAATCAGCGCTGTTCAAAAGATATGCAACATTTCCTCACAGAGAAAAAAAGTGATGTTAAAATGTCCTACTATACACAAAAAAATGTTCGAAAATAATTGAGAATTAGACAATAATTATAGTTAAAAATGGGTTTTCATTTGATTTTATCGTATGCGATGATTATGAAAATAGCATTGATTATCTTAACATCGTTTCTTCACTTCAAAAAGAGATGGATCTTCATTGTACGATTTGTTATTCATTGATTTTTAATTGGAAGTCGATAAAGAACATTGAAGAAAACTATAACTATGATTCTAATTACAATGACAGTCATATGAAATAGGTAGATTCATTGAATAGTTACATTTAGATGTGATTGTCGGTGATTTTGGATATAACATATATTTTTCAATAGTCTCTAAACCACGCAAAATTATTTATGTTCTCTTAATCATTTTTCTCACTGGAAAAACAAAACTTCCAACTTATTCGTTAATTTGTGATTGAATATTTATGTAGACAAAGTGAACATAAAAGAAACTGCAGTTATATCAATACTGAATTATTTTATCGACGCAATATCTTTTCAACAATAATTTGATAACTAACAACGTAGTTACAGCTTAACTCTATATAGACTTTGCAATGAATAAATGAAAAATAATAAAATAGTTTGTTCAAATACATTCTTTTTTTCTCAGGAAACTTTGTGTTTCCTTCAAAAAGTGCTGATTTTTAATGTTTTTTTTTATATAAAAATAATGATATTAACTGTTGTTTCAACTAGTTTACGTCATATGCTACCTGGTAGAGTTCGATATTGACAACAAATATTAATATTTTTATTCAAAAATGATTTTGAAGAAGAAGGTGATAGTATTGTTTTCATTAACATATGATATTTTGTCATAAACATTTTACATATGAAGACAATTATATACAGTGAGCATCAGAATTATTCATTCATTATTATCTTTATTTTAAATGAAATAAATACATAAAAATAAAGTGAAAGATATCATTTGAGAATCCATTTCTTGATCATTTGATGAAAAAAATGTTGCAAATAATTCGTAAAATTTATTCATTTTTCCGTTGATATCTATATAATAAAACATATTCTTTTGTATCTTTACATTAGTTGTCATTCATAAATCCTTATCTCTTATTGAATTAAACAAAAATAAGTTGTTTCGTTTTAGTTTTATTCTCCAATCATTAACTATGTAAATTGGCTTGAATGATAGAAAAACTCTTCTATATTTTATTGAAAACTGAACATTAAAATATAAAAGGTTTATTTTTTTTCTCCATTCGCCTACCTAATGACGTCAATGGGAATTTGCTTTTTTTCTGAAATATTTGCAGCAAATACAACATTTGAAGTTATTAATAAAGAAAAACAATGAATCTGTTTCCTTTTTCAAAACTAACATGAAATATCAGGGATTATTTATTGTAAATATAAAAATATTCATGATATTGAAATGTTTATAGGAAGGATGTGAAAACAAAGTGTTTCAAACAAAACTTAATGTTATTCTTGTTAAGACTACATCCAAAATCATGCCTTAATGAAGGAAATACGATGCTTCCCTAAAGAATAAAATATATGGACATTATCTATTATCTAAAATATATTGCACAATTAGTTTTATTCTTATTTCACACATTAGATAAATAATAAGAAAAATGCAGTTGTTGATCTTTAGAATGAATCTTCATCAAATACTATTCAACAATATGAATATCATCGAAACACATAAAATCTACAAGAAATAAATATATAAATAAAAGAATTAGAATTTCACAGAATAATATCACATTCACTTTTAACAAAAGTTTATCATGACAAATAATTATGATCAAATTAACATATAGTTATAAGTAAAAGTAGTATATCAATTATTTTTTTTTGTACATTTTAGAAATAGGAAACACTGTAGAGAAGAAAAATAAAAACAATGAGTTATCTTGAGGATCTGTCTTAGTTTTGGCCATAACACACTCTCAAGATGAACCATGAACGTATTTATTCCAACTATATAAAGACTGAACAATAAAGTTTCGATTCTTTTCTCTAATGATTTGCAGACACAAAAATACTCAGATATTGACACACTAACTCCTAATAAATAATCATGCATAGAATAATGAATTTTATATTTATTTGTTCTAAAGTACTGTGATGTCCACTAAAATCTTGAATTGATGACATCCGATTGAACAACTTCTATATGGTTTCGAAATTTTTTAATAGTAATATACCATATTTAAATTAAATGACATGCCATGAATATAATCAATATCAAAACAATGACCCATGCCTATATGAAAATAAATATACAGAATATTGAATTTATATGTATTTTGAAGAATTTTACTCTCCACGATCGCAATACATCTGTTGTTAAATGAACGAGTCCATATTGAATGCAAGTGATAACTCCTGCTGATGTCCACATAATATCAGTCAATCTGCCAATATATTCAGATGGAAAACTAAGCCAGATAGAGAGGAAAACATTGATTTGAATTTTCTAGTTATGAAGAAAAGTAATGTAGTTAAAAACTAATGCAGAAATGATAACAGTAGATTCGGCAAACATACAAATAATACATATTATTATATTTAAAATCTATGCACATGTTTGAACAATTGAAGTATTCAATAGTTTTTGTTTTGGATTTAAATCAAATTATGTTAATAATTATGTACAATATTTATTTGTAAGCGTTAACACATACTCTGTTCTGCTCGAAATGCAAGAAGAAAACCAACAATTGGACAAAGAACTGTTTGAGATAAGGATGCCATATTGAATGCAAATGTATATTCATCACCTAAAAGAAATTCATTTCAATATAAACTAATTGATATTGTAGAATTAGTTTTCTTTGTTATCTTATGATAAATATTTTAACTGACCATCTAGTCTCATGAGAATTATTACATATATCAAAATTATTCAAAGAAAAATATTTGCTGATGATTGTATTATCATTATGATTGATATAATAAACCTATGGATACCAAGTGACCGACAGAAGAATATTCGGCATTAACAAAATACTTAAGTACAGAACAATCAAAATATACAATGGATCAGTTACACACTTCCAAAATCCAACTCGTTGATAAATATTTGTATACCATTTCGTTTCATTGGTGATTTCTGTTAATGAAATCGTTACGAAATGAAGATGTTTCACACAAAGTCAAATTTGTTAATATTTTATTTACATATTACCTTTTGGTATCGTGTTCATGTGTTCCGATTTCGTGTCCAGAGTATATCCAAGATTTAATATTGGAAATTTCCAATCAAGAAATAAAAATGATGAGGTAAACATCAATACTCTGAATCATATCCAAATATAAGATACTTGAGATAATGTTAGTTTATTATTTTCAATTAAAACCTATATAATCTTTGTAGTAATGTAATTATATTTTAATGAAAAATTTACCTGAAAAACAGAATACCAAATCGATGCTGATAAACTTGAATCAATAAGTAAAGTTAATAAAAATGCACGTCTTTTAGAAAAATAATTACAAGTCGCATAACTACTTATTTGTACAGTGATATCAGATAGTGCTGTAAACAATGTGTGAACAAATCATAGAGAATCTCGATGTAAAAAGCAAATAAAATTAGTGAAAATTTCCTCTTTTTGTTTGTTTGAGGAAATTATCAGATTTAACAAGAGCCAATGCTAGCCATCGATAACATGAAATACTCCAGAAACAATGTTAAAAATCAAGTATAGTAGAATAGAAGAACTACATTGCAATCAATTTAACAAAACGACCACCATACATATCAATCAATATACCGATGAATATCGATAGTAAATTAAAACATATTATGCCTAAAGTCAATGCATTCTATATAATATAAACTTTTAAAATAAAGAAAATTTTAAAAAGATTCTACATGATATTGTTGCGTTTGACCACTACAATCTTCTTCTATTGAATCAGTTACATTAGATGATTGACAATAACTACTATAGACACCATATTTTTGTAGTACTTTAAAAAGTGCTGAAAAGCCAAAAATATTTGCACTGACAAGATTGACTTTAATCAAAAGCCAGATAATACCTACCCATTTTCGCTATGGATTTGGATTAGTTGAGTTCATCTATTAAGAGAATACATGGAAGTTAATATACGAGAAGTATTTTCAAATAAACATGGTGTGTAACATTTATTTGGAAAAATCCTTCAGACGAGCGTATAATGACAAGAGCGAATTGTAAAGTGAAATTTTGATTCTGTAATGTCGACTTTGAGACTCTTCAAGATTTGTTTTTTTGCATAGATCAGGGATATGTTAATCATTTTCGTATGTGAATAAATAAACCGAAAGTCTTAAGGAAGAAGAGAAGCTTGAAAAATTAATAAGAGTTAGAGTCATTCTAATTCTACTTGCTGAAGTACCAATGGGTTCACTAATCGACAGCGTTTATATAGTTTCACAAAGTAAATAATCTTGTTTTCTCGTCATTTTTGTTAAGTGAAATAAGGTTTAATTGAAGAAGTTTGTTTTTCTTGATGAATGGATGTATTGTCGCTTGATTAAATATATAATGTCTCTTTTGTTTCTCATTGCTATATTTAATAAATATTCGCTTTAGGTTACACTTACTTGTTTATTTCTTTAGAAAGTTCTGTAAATCAATGAATTAGTCTTAATACTTTTCAAATCATATTGCTTCACGATAAATATTCAAGTCTATCTTGAGATCTTTGAGAGAAAAAGTATGAGAAGATTGATTTTATATTTTCTTTTTTCTATATCGACTTATTAAAATTTATTTTGAAATAATTTTTAATAATTGTTCACAATTCAAAAAACAAATATTAGACATCTGTTTTATTGTTTCAAGTGCTTTTTTCAAATGGAAAGCTTTTGTTTGTGTACCAACAATAAATGTATGTCATCCAAAATATACAATTTTAGCTTTTAATGTCTTTTCTGAAACTCATTGTTCAATATAATATATTAATGTTTGTCCATATTGTTGACCAGTATAATCTTGAGACATATAATAATGATATATCATTTGTTTCCATTAAGTAAGCTAAAACTAATAATTCTTTTTCTTTATCAATTCATGATTTTGATTTATATAATACGTCATCATTTGTAGCATCCAATAATATATGTATGCCGTTCTTCACTTAAAAATAATAATCAACAAATATTTACTATATACTTTCATTTCCATTTGTAAAAGTGAATTATTTCATCTTACAGATTTATTTCAAAAACACTAACGAGGGAGCATATTTGAGTGTACCCACGCAAAACGAGATTTGAACTACTGTATCTTGTAGGGCTGCCTTTGGGGTATCTCAGATATATATATCTTAGCTGCCCGTTTTTAGATTTTAGGGAAAAAAACGACATAACATTTTCAGTTTTACAGCAAAAGTCATCACTGGAAGGGGCTAAAAAAGTGATCACGTA